ACTGTACATGGCTAGGCGCTCTGACCACCAAAGGGAGGAGGATGCTCTCTGACCCTGGCTCCAAGTCACTCGCAGACTGAGAGGCTTAAACAGATGGCTCCTGTCCTTGATCCCAGCTGTTCCTCTTGATCTGTGGGAGCAGCCCCTGCTGCAGATAGCAGCCTGGAGGTATTCAGGGGTGAGCTGAGGGCCATTTCCAGCACCTGCTCCTGCAATTGGCAAGCTAAGGAGGACGTCATTGAAAGGGGAGAGCTCTACACAGAGCAATTCTGGAATAAGAAGGCAAGTTAAAGCAGTCCTACCTTCTGCCCTCCATGGAGACGGAGCTACTCATGCCCTTGGTTGTCATAAAGGTGACAGGAATAAAGTGCTCAAGCCTGAGAGAAACAGGATGGCACTGGTGGTTGCTGTTTGGCACAGGCAAACATGGGTTTACCAAGAGCTGTAGCTGGTTGTAATAAACGAACCAAAGCACATCTCCAAGCCAGAAGGTGAAAAAGGCACAATCCTGCTATGCTAAATGCCTTGCTGTATGCCAACTGGCTTACTTCAAAGCATTTGAAATAGTGACCAATAAAGGACCAGCTGACTTGCTCACATTAGACCTCTCTGTAGGTCTTAGCTCAATTCCACTGCACACAGGTTTATACAAATTGGGAATAATGAATAATGAAATCCTATAAGGAAGAAAAGCTCGTAAAGGTAGGTTAGTCCACACAGTGCACTTAACTTTCTTAGGGCCTTGGTGACTTCAGAGAGGCATCGTCCCCTGCACTGCTTGTGGTGGCTGGAACTAGAGTTCCCTTAGGACATGTGTGGATACATACCCTCAGTGCCAGGCTGATGGCAGGTGTCTTCCAAGACTTGTGCTATGTGGAAGCAGAATATAGAATACAGTAGCTGGAATCAGTGACTGACCAAAACCACTGAAACAAAACCCCAGCACTTTCCCCAAACTCCTGCCAACTCCTGTCTTTTCTATTGAATTGCAGCAAGAATTCAGCCTTCTTACCCTTGCAAGAAACAGCATGCAGAGTTACATAGCCAGGTTCTCCCTATAAGACAAAAGTAATGGCCAAAACAATTGTCAGGTGCAGGGTTCAGCACAGCACCTGGTTCAGGTGTGGTTTACAACTGGTTACAAACCTAAGGTATTGAGAATCTATCAAGAAACATTAAACACTAAGCTGCTGCCTCTGACTTCAAGTCCTTAACCACAATGTGACTGTTGTATACAAGGTATGCTGGCATACCTCTGCTGCTGGCCACAGTCAGGCAAGTGATGCCATGCTTCCAGTTTAACCCAGTAAGACAGGTCTTAACGCTGTACTCCTAAGGCATAGCTGCTGGAAGAGGTCTGCTTCACTTCGGTGTCTCAAGTCTGCCTTTGCACTATCTCCTTGCTCAGTCTAACTATACTAAATCAAGCAGAGAATGCTAAACAAGTCAAGGTAAAAGAAACCTGTGGGCTCTTTACGCTGCTTATACGCATCCTGGTTTGAGTCCTTAGAGTAGATTACTCTCCAGATACAACGTTTTATGAATGCTTGATTTGTTTTGAGAGAGGTTTTTTATATCCTGCACGTTTTATGCTCCTTTAAATATTACCTTAGTCTTGTCTCACCTCTGCTCCAAAAAGATACCACAGCAAAACAGGCACTTTCAGATACTTAAAGAATAAAGTTCGACAATGGTGTAGGCACATCCACTTAAGTCAAAGATGTCTTAGAGATGAACAAACAGAACTGGTAAATGTTAGACAAGCCGAAACAAATGAGGAATTGGATATTAAATACACCAGAAAAAGGTGACATTTTTCAACAGCTTATAAAGTCTGAAAGATTAACATTATACTTAGATGGCAAAATTGGATAAAATGAATTAAGTTTCCTGCTGGGAGACACACGTGTAAGTGTGAAGCAGGTCCCAAGGGAGAAAAAAAGTGGATCTTCCAGCTCAAAATGTTCAACTTTATCTTAGTTTTTGTTCCCTAACCCAGACTATGTATATGATTTCCTACCTGTTTGATCCTTCCCAATAACTTTATGTTAGCTGACTTCATAAGTGATCTTAAGGATATTCAGCTCCCCTATCTCTCATTTGTATTACAAATTAGCTATTTTATTACTTCACTAGTGAAAAATGCATTGGAAAAATATGCAAGTAGACAAAGCCCTCATTGCACAGCAAGTCATCATCATCTTCCCTAGAATGTTTTTAAGGTGAGCCCAACCTCTTCTTCTTCCTCTTCTTCCTAAAACTTTCAGCTATAATCAGCGACAGTTTGGGGGTTTTACTCTTTTTTCCTGAAAGAAAATCAAAATAAAAATGATGCTAATAGGGGAAGAACATTGATTTTCCCCCAAACTGGTGATTTATTGTCTAAGATTATGAAATGCAAAAGAAAGAATGTTCTGATTTTTCCCTAAACGTAGACTTTGCTGTTTGAAGCCTGTCTTACACCTTATTGAAAGACTGGTACCACTGAAAACTGTTTGAAACGTCCCTTCATATGATTCTACTCTCACTTGTCTGTAACTCAATCAAACTTCTATATTTTGGTTTGATTTTTTTAAAGTATTTAAAATAAATAATAAATATCTCAGGTGTCTGCCTCAGGCTGCCGTTTTCTGGAAGCATTTCAGCCAATATTCAGCTATTTCAGCAAATGAGACAAGGATGTGCTGGGGGGGGGGGAGTTTAACTTGCACTGAGTATCCTGATGACAACTCCTTTGAACAAGTTTTCTGTGCTTTAAAGTAGGGAATAGAAACTTGACAAGAGAGGGAGGGCATCAAATGAAAATGATATGATGATTCATTCCTCCATATGAAAATTTGAGCCATTGGGCCAAGTTATAAATCATCCAAAAATTGCAGCCTGTATAACTGTTAGTGATTAACAGCTAAAATTCTACATTCAGCGAACACATTCATGCTTTTCATGAGTTTTTAGTGACATCCAGATTGCCTATATAATGGCCTCAAAGAACAGCTAAGAACACATCTGTCTCCTAAAAGATTTTGTATGTGAGCCAATTGGACATTTGCAAGCCCCGGACTAAATATACATTACAGGGCTTCAGGAAGAACACGGGCTATTCTGAGAAGAGGTGAGACTGGGAGATAGCAGGACTGGGGTAGGACACATGAGAAGAGGAAAGGAAAAGCACACTGAGAAGCCACTCTCCTTATAAGAGACTTATAAATTGTCCAGTCTAAAGAAGCTGGGTTTTATGGGCATGGCTCTATTTTATGTTAAGTTGCAGAGCATGCAACAAGAAGGAAGACAAATCTCATGAGACCAAAATCAGACAGGAAAGGGAGGGTGGCAAGAAAGGAGATGAAACAAAAGCAGTACAAGTCTTCAGGTATCATGGATCTCTACACCCAGGACAGGCTGTCTGCAGTTTAGCTGTTTTCCAGATCTTGTATCATTGCCTAATCCGGCTGATCACTATCCCACTCTACAGCAGAGCAACCCTTGCATCCTTCTGAACTCAGAGCCTAGGTCTTTGGTTTCTGTTGCCAGTCCAGCATGACTCCCTGTGCTCTCCTTCCAGGTAGCAGTGAATTCTTACTGGCTGCTAGAAACTCCTTTGGCCTAGGCCAAATCACCAGCGCTTTTCTCTCCAAGCAGACTGCACACTGAAGCAGAGGTAACTGCAACAAATATAAAATGACACCTATTTTTCCATGCATTATACTAGGAACTGGGAGGAAAAACCTCTGCTATGGAAACTGCAACAGAAAGGCAGGTCCATGCTAATGCACAAAAACGCTGACATCTAACATCTAGTTTAGTAGCTCAGAGATGGGCAAAGCTGATCATGAGTTTGGGTAATTAATATCCCTTGTTAACGTGGCACCAGAGAGCAGAGCACTTGCCTCCATCCATAATTTACTAGGTGGGCTTGATTACTTATTTATTTTAGAACAAGACTAAAACAATACTGAAGCTCTGAAACAACCTACTGCAAGGTTAAGGATTCCACTCTCAGACCTGCTGTTCCATATTCTCCCCTCCTGCCCACCAATGTACATCGACAAAAGCTGCGAGGCTCTGTACTGCATACCTAAATGCTCTTTTACCTCCCAAAAGACCTTTGCTCCAGCCACTGTGGATGGTTCTCACTGCGAATGCAAGAATGAAGTACTAGTGCCTGTCAGCATGGAGTCTGGTCCCTGACCTGTAACGTCAGCAAGGTCTAATTCCATGACGTAAGGACTGTTGAGTACACGCGCGCCTGCGCTGGTGAGCTGCGGATCAGCTCACCTCAATGAGCCCACCAATAAAGCTTAGCTTTTCCACGACCCGTTTTCATCGGTGTGGGTGAGCTGATGAAGATAAACTGGTCTGCAGCAAGACAACCATTACTGACAGTGAGCTGTGGGTGAAAAGACAGCATCTAACTGGAGAGATGGCAAAGGTAAGACAGCGTAAACTTGGGATGTCCCACGCTGCAATGTCCAGACACCAATGAGAGACCCTGTGACCAGTGCCTAGTTCAAGGCAGGAACCCAACACCCCCTGACCTCTGTGCCCTAGTACTTAGTTTTATCATAGGTTTATCTTTGTCAATCCAAGCATTATACAGCTAAAATATACCATATACTTAGGCACAGCTCTCGGAGCAGGGGGATTTAACACCATTTCCCACCATTCATATTCACATCAGACCATAAACCACTCGTGCCCATTAGCACGACGAGGGGAAAACAATGCTCGGAAATGCAGGAGACTGACTCACAGACACTTGCCTGTTCAGTGTGCCCAGAACAAGCCCACAGTGCTACTCTGTGCTATAAGGTTTATGGAGAAGTTAATCCATCCGCACAATAATACGGCATTATGGCTCATCTGAGGCTCAGCTTGCAGAGTCCAAAGTGTACAAACAGAGAGGCATATAGGACAAATCTGAACTAAGCGCTGTACCCTGCCCTCTGCCTGCACCAACGATTTACAAGTACCTGGTAAATGATTTGTAGACCTAAAGATAACAAAGTATAAAACCCTATGACTGCTTCTGTTTTACAAAGGAGACACTCGCTGGGTAATTTACCATGTCTCTGAAAATGTCTCAAATTTTGGTGTCTGCTCTGCTGCTTACAGGTAAGTGCCTGGCACCCTGTCTCATGTCATTCCCTTCTGGCTTGTTAAACAGTCAAGCTGGCAAAAAAAGCCTCTGTAACCACCAGAACAGCACTGATGGAAGAGAATTAACTGGAAATCACTGCAGCAGGGACATACGGGAGAGTGGGTGAGCACAAGACTGCATAGCAGGTTCTGTGAAATAGTCTTGATTCTGCTCCTTCTGACTGCTTTTGAACTGTTACTGCTCAAACTCTCAGGTATGAGGAGCGAGGATGCATTTCTGTCTGAAAGGGATGCTTACAGAATCACGTGCTGAACTGTTTAAATTGTAGAAAGAGTTGAATGCTGTTGTTCTGGAATCTTCCCTGAACATTATTCTGATCTCCACATTTATTGTAGCAAGAAACAATTTCACATGCATTTATAAGGATCTAAATGATCTATTTCATAAGTGATTTTCAGGACATCTGATTTGAATTGCTTAAGGAGACACTCTTTTAAAGCTCTCAGTCTGTCTGATCAGTGAACCTTCACAACGCCCTGTAACCACAGCACCTAAAATCTAGATTCACCCTGTAAAAACTGGACCAGAGTGTAAATGAATGGGACGGGGCTGCAGCACCGGCGAGGCTGAAAGGATGCTCTTCCCGAAGCAGCACAAACTGATGCAGTCAGCGATCAGTGATGCACATGTTGTGAGATAAATTTCTTCCTCGCTAAATTAAAACAAACCAGGTAGGCAGGAAACTACTGTTGACTTCTCAGGTGCATCATGGAAAGATGCTCCAGCCACCTGTGTGCATTAAAAGCATTTCTTAGATCTGAGCAGTCCAGCACACTTGCAGTAAATACACCATGAGAAGAGCTAAGGCAAAATGAGGCAGACAGAATTAACCAATGCTTAATCATAAGTAAGTTGTTTTGTGAACTGGGACCACAGTCAGGTGTACTCTCTCTAAGCGGCTAGATTCTCTTCCTTGCCATATGATCCTAAGTTTTGGATGCAGTGACGCTCTGCAGGGAGGGAAGGAGATGGAAAGGGCCTTTCTCCTTCTGCAAGCTAGAGCTCACCTAGAAACCTTCCTTTCCCCTTATTTGCACTCCTAATCTGCTGTGCACCTGAGCTTGGACTACTCCCAGGCACTTTTCTGTCTTCCTGAACCTCACCTCCTTCCCATTGTAGACCATCATGACACAAACCATGTCGCCTGATGCCAAGATAGGATCACAACAGCCTGCTGCCCCTCTTTTTGGAAGGCTTAAACTTTGATTTTTCTCTCCCTTATTTCTCTATCTTCCCTAACAGCCTCGTTTGCCCTCTTTCCCAGGTTCCTGTTTTCAAAGGGCAGGAAGAACTATTTATTACTGATTTTTAATGAGTCTTAAAAGTTTAACAGATCACAAACAGCTCAGTTTTTCATTGTCCATCCTTTCAGCAATGATCAAGGTGGTGGTGAATTAAAGCAGAGGCCATATGATTCATTAGTGAGAGCCTGATTCCACATCATAACCTCTACTCAGCTGCTGTAAATCATTCCCTATAATAAACATCTTAACTTTTCTGGGAATGGGCCTTCTGGACTGCTGCAGAGTGCAGCAGCAAGGGATGGGGTACAAGAGCATGGTGTCCTGGCACTGGGATCATTACTGAAGGCTCTCAGATGACTAATAGGGGTGTCTTGCCCATTCACACAAGGTTAAACTTAGGGCCACATTTGGATTTAGAAAGGAAATTTTCCAGGACCCAATGGACCAATGCTTTTCCCAATATTTTCTTGCAGGGAAAGTAGTTCCTTCTCTAGGATTATCTAGGATTTCTGGCAATCGCCTTGCCATTTACCCATAGCTGACAGCTTTCCTGACCCCTGGCATACATCAGCAATGCATTCAATACCTAATTCTGCATTTAGTGTCTGTAAATTGTCTGCTTTTGCTGATGGGGGAACAAGGCTGATGCTGTAGCTCTAACAATTGCTAATGACTGAGCTCTCATCCCTTGGACCACAGAGCTCTCATGTTCTGTGCTGTAAAATTAGGGATTGTCAAAGAATAGAGACTACTGTACTTGGAGGCTTTAAACAGATGAGACCAAAACTTCAGGGGCTGGGTGATATGAGCAATGTTGAAGAACTTAACAATCAGCGATGTAGAATTTTGTCTTCAACAGATATTAGCAAATCTAACTGATTTAAGGCCTGTTACCATCCGAACACTTTAGAATACACAGCCAATGTGCATAGGCACAGGTCTTTTCACCCTTTGAAAAAACAATATAGAGGTGTTTGACTTCAATGTAACTGTACTTTTCAACTGAAAAAAGGTGATATGTGGCCCAAGGGTGGCCTACAGAATCCAAAAGCCTGCTGCAATCCACCTGTGTATGCAAAGTGCTGACAGATAACCACATCCTGATTTCCACGGAGTGCCACGTAACAGTGAGAAATACTCTGGTGAAAACCAGATGCTTCCACACTACTCTTTCAGCGCTTGCACTGTTGCACTGTGCTATTCTGAATCCTTAGACTGAGTCCTTGGTTCTAACTTTGTGAATCTTTTCTGGGCTTGGAATGTTAGGCAGATGAAGTACCGTGGAGTGTGGATGTATGGGGGTGTTGTGGGGGTGTCCATTATGGCTCATTTCTAACCTTAAGAAGCACATCTGAGCTGCAGCGTTTGATTTGCCTTTTCAAAGTTCCCAACACGTCAGCACCAGCCACCTCAGCAAGGTTAAAGTGTCCAAGGTTGAAGTTTAGCTCTGTCCAAGTTTAGCCTCTGTCCAAGCTGTGTCCTAAAGTGCTGATAAGACTGGCATCCTTATCCCTGTGAGCTGACATTCTGACCAGTCAATCAGCAAAGCTGATATTAATAAGTTATTAGACTAAAAGGAAAGGAGTCGGAGCAATTGCCAACTTTTGACATTTAAATTCCACTGAAATGAATTGCTTTAACAATAGGTTTTCAATTTGTCAGAAACTTGCAATAGTCTTCAGAAGCTAGGGAGAGAAAAAACCAGGTCCAGCTTCTGTGACTGTGCGCACAGAATGACTGAAGTGCTGCTAAGTAATTGTCAATTTATTTGTAAATATCACAGCAAATCAGAGCTAAACCACTTTTCCCTGTCACAGATACACACCAGGGATAAACTTTGCTCCCAGGCCTTGGGATTGCTCCTTACCATTTATATAATACTCCTGATCTAGATCAAACACCCCCTGGGGAAGGGGTGGGGGGAAGCATATCCTGTACCATAGCAAGTTTGAAGCCTTGTTTTCTTATCATTTAACTCAGCTATTAGTCATGCAAACGGTGGCTTGCCTACTCTCCCCAAAGACTGCTAAGCACAAAATGGCTTATACTGCTTAGCTTTTAAAAGAGAAAAAGGATATCAATGAAATGGGTGCCTAAAGCAGGCAAAGGTGGCAAAGTTTAATCCCATTCTCACCTTTTTGACCGTGTTACGAAGTGGATCATTCAGGTGATAGAAAAAGATGTCTTCCTGAGAAGATTTTATGGTTGCACCCAGCAACCACCTTGCCTTCTAGAAACCTATCACCTTACGAGAGGGTTAAGCTTCCGTTCGAGGACGCATGAAGAGATTTTAATGCAAATAGTTCAAGATCTACGCAGGTTGATATTATTACCTTGACATTCCAAGCTATTTGATATGTCTTTTTCATAATCAGGTTGCTGGTTTGTTTTCAGTAGTCATTGCTGGGATTAAGTACACATTTGCTATTCTGACAAAGATGACAAGGTTCTGTCACCATACCCCGTCTTGAGACTCTCTCAAGCTTAGTCTTATACCAGTTCGCACTAATCTAAAACGAGATACTCAGAAGTCCTTCAGGCATAGTCTGAGGCACCTACCTGAACTCTTCCACAGCCTTTTCCCAAGCTGTTCAAAAGGCAGGAAGAGAATTACACCTGGTCTGATAAACTTAAATTGAGGCAAGACATAGGTTGTTTGCTGAACACTATGCACTCAGAGGAGCTGCTCAGGGGCTATTCAGATAGATCAGCTCTGATGCTCCCCAAGTCTGGTGAGTCCAAAGGAGGGCCATGAAGATGATCAGGGACTGGAACCCTCTTCTGTGAAGACAGGCTGAGAGAGTTGGGCTTGTTCAGCCTGGAAAAGAGAAGGCTCAGGAGAGGCCTTATGGAAGCCTTCCAGTAACTAAATGTGACCTACAAGAAAGCTGGAAAGGAACTTTTCACAAAGGTATGTAGTGAAAGGACAAGGGAGAATGGATTTAGGCTGAAAGAGGGTAGATTTAGATGAGCTATTAGGCAAAAATGCCTCACTATGAAGGTGGTGAGACACTGGAACAGGCTGTCCAGGGAAATTGTGGCTGCCCCATCACTGGAAGTGTTCAAGACTATGTTGGATGGGGCTTTGAGCAACCTGGTCTTGTGGAAGATATCCCTTCCCATGGCAGGGGGTTTGGAACTGGATGATCTTTAATGTCCCTTTCAACCCAAAACATTCTATGATTCCATACAATATAGCTTTAAGACCTGACTTTCTCTGAACTCTGCCAGAGCACAAGCAAGTTCACAACCCTGCTTGCCTATTTAGCCCCAGTGGAAGAGGATCATTTTTGGTTTCACTAGAAATGGTCTCACCAGAGTTCTTCTGGAGGTGAATGAAGTTGGCCCTATTCAGAGATGTATAATGATCATTGCAGTAAGATGGAGAGAGAATGAGCTAAGCCTGAAGGACTAGCTTGAATATAAAGGTTCTTACCTGATGTTTTTTATGATACTTATGCATCTTTGGAGCACCCCAGCAGCTAGGGACAAGCCCTGCAAAGTTGGCTCCTTGGTGCTAAAGGTGAGAGGAGGAAGTGTTTGCGATAGCAGCCAGAAAAGAACAAGAACTGGGCGTCAACAATGACAGAAGAAGCAAAGAGCAGACCTGACACCCCCACCTCCCTTGGAACATGAAAGTCTTCTTTAGTCAAAGTGAACATGTATGGTTAAGGATGGCATTTGCCATTGGATGCCATTTGCACAAGTGCAGTCAGAGCAGACTGCATGTTAAAAATAGAAAGTTAATACGTTCAAGACACAACGCTATGCATCTCAGTAGCCAAGACAACACCTCACTGTCCCACCAGCAGAACAAGCTCAGTTTCTGAAGATGCTGGCAGCAGGAAGAGGAAACACAAAAAGCAGAGCCATTTAATGTTGCTATTTTCTAGCTCACCATGAAGCTGGAAAGCAAGAGCACATATTGGTGATAAAATTTAATGTTTAATGGCCCTTAGTAACTCTATATACATTTAAACAAAAGTAAAGCCTATTACTGAGCCAATTTCTGGTCCCAGTTCAGATATCTCAGTGCAAAAATGTAATCATGAGCTTAGAAAATATTTAATACCCAAAAAGCCCTCTCCACATTCACTAAGAAGAAGTTAACAGCTCATAGATTTTTCTACTGAATAATAATAAATTGCCAGAGTAATAATGAAATTCAGCATGAGGTTAGTTTTATCCCGCGCAGCTCTCAAACAGAAGGGTAGCAGCTTAATAGACAAATGCAAGATATATCTTTTTTTTCCTTCCCTGGGCCAAAATCTTACTTGTTTTCCGAGGTACAGAAATAGCTGTTTCTCAGTTCCCTAAGGGAGAGAGCAGTTCACACAACAGGAATCTTCACACCAAATGTCTGAGCTTAGATTTTAACATGGAGCTGTTAGCGTTTTTAAAGATGGTGTTCCTTAAAAACTCCCTACCCGGAAATTTTTGCCTCCGGTTTCTGATAATAGTAATTTGGAACCTGAAGAAACTCAAGTAGGAAGGAGCTACTAGGAGTGTCACTGCTTGCTAAGTACATTTTCTAATGCACATTTTCATGTCTTTTTTAAGATTGACGATGGCAACCACATGCACTGATTTATTTTGTCCATTACTCTACAATCGAGCATTTTCTCACTTTCATTTCAAGCATTTTTTAGCTTTGAAAAGAAACAAAGTGAAAAGGAGCAGCAAATACTCTAACTCACATATCTGCCGCCTACATGCATTCAGTGTACATTTTTGTCTATTTAAAAGCTAAAGAGCAACCATATTGTGGATGATGAGGAAAGCCAGCAATAATAGCAAGTGAACTGGATTCAACTGAGCATTGTACATGAAAGCAAACATTTGACATCCTGAGTTAGAGTTTTCCCCCTTGAGATTCAGGAATGAGGCCATTGGAGAGCTGGCAGTGAGGCAATAGCTTGCCCTGCTGAGCTGCTATTGTAAGATATAATAGATAAGGGTTCAAGTTCTTGGTCCATCTGTACCAAGTGTGTGTCCATTTAAACCCACTTAAATTGGAGTCCAGCTGTTTACAGACACCGGTCTCAGCTTGGCTTATGTATCCAAGTTTCAACCTAATCAGTGGCTCATTAAAAAAGTCGACTTTTCCTGTAGCAGAACCTTTCATACGAAGTTAATGAGGAATTCAGCTATCTTTCTTGAGCAGAATGCTTATTTCAAGATCACCTACAAGAAGTGCTTCTGCATCTGGGGTGAACTCGAAAGCTGCCTAAAGCAGTGCAATAGCAAGATTAGAAGCGCAATGTCTTTTACTCAGAGTAATTTCTACACACGCAATTTCTCTTCTGCTACTAATGAGAACAATTACTACATCTAAACTAGGGGCTTTGGAAAGCATAGTTAAATTTATGGGTGGGTTTAAGGTTTTAAAGGACCCAAACTTTAGGCTTCTCAGTACACTTGAGACTACTGAAATCCAGTCTAAGTTTCTTTTCAGTCACAACACAAAATAAATTAGTTCCTTAATTTGCTTGTAACTTGATTTACTTTGGATTCAACAGCAAAATAGTGATTTATAGCAGCCGGCTTATTTACCTCAGGCTAAGAAAAAAGTATGCTGAAGATCTAATGTAGAAACATCCTGGTTATAAATAAACTGCAGGTCCCGCTTTTTGGGTGTGCTTTTTGAGGCGGACACTCTAAAACATTTTCCTGATAATACAAATCTTTCTCGGCTTCCTTTTCAGGTGTCCTTGGAGCACCTTTTCTGACAGAAGAATCAGCAAATCAATTTATACGACTTAAACGACAGATACTGTTTTCTCAGAACTACTGGGACCCAAGCAGCAGCCAGGATGCATGGGGATATGCTGTAGCTGAACAGGTACTTGCTTTCATCTTGCAGCACCTATTGGGGTAAAAAAAAACCCCAAACCCACACAATTACAGGTCTGGGATTAACACCGAACAGTAACCCTTTGGGTAAAGGGGGGGAATCTGATTTAGCAAAGCAGGCAAGACTGCTGTCAACGACTCAGTATCAAAGCTCATAATATTCTTTTCTATTTTGATCTACTTCAGGTTAGTAAATCATGGAGAGCTTTAAGCGACACAGCACAATACTACATGGGCTTGGCTCCTTTTGCCTTTGATCCGTCAACTGCTAAGCATGATGGGATTTCTCAACAGAGCATTTCATAAACTCCAAGTTTTCATTTACCTAAGTAAGTAAAATTGACCGATATAACAGTGCTTTGGGACAATAGGGTCCTAGTGGCATAACTTGGCACATGAACAAACCCCATTATAAGAGACGCCCTGAAAAAATAAAGGAGATTTGTTTTTCCTGTCCAAGTTTTATAGTCATTTGAAATGTGGCAAGCTGTTTTGTAAGTTTGCTTTGGAAGAATTCATTAAAAGCTTAAAGAATATATATCTTTTAAAAATAATCTACAGAACCTAAACTGCAGGTATATATCCTACACAGTTGAGTTTAAAAGCAGGCACAAAGCAATTCCTGAGGAGAAAAATAAAAAGATAAAACCCTCATCTATTTCAGTGACAAAACTGTATTCAGTGTAGAATAAGACCTCAGAACAAAACAGAGAATGAGGCACAGCAGTTGGAAAAACCCATATTTATAGATGAGCACGCAAGTACATGAAATGAAGTCTCAATTTCTCTATGAGAATTTAAGACTGCAAAAATGTATGCATTTTTGGGACATGTTGTTGTCAAATTTAGGGAACGACTACTAACTGATTCAGTTTGACAAGCACAGAATACACACATTATTGCTGCAAAACACTTTTCATACCAAGATACTTCAGCCCGTTGAAATGGACAGGAGTGGGTAGAACTAAACTCATACAACTTTAAGTTTCAGTACTTAAAATAGTTACTAAGACACAGCAATCTGATTGGACTAATTGTAACGACCAATAGGAAAATGGGTAGGCTTCTTCTTATAATATGCTTTGAATTTTATTGACTTAAAATTAGCTTTCCTTTTGAAAATGAGTTTCATTTTGAGATGTGGCTTTTCAAAAGCACTTTTTTACGAGGTAAGAATTTGATTTGGAGATCTCAGATTGAGCTTTCTAAGGCTGTTCCACCTGAATGGTGATGCCAGTTTCACTTACTGAGCAGAAGCAAGTGGAAGAGAACAGCTAAAAGTCATGATTTCCCTGCCCTCTTGCCAAGTCTTCAGCTGGTGTCTTTTTGTGACTCGAAGGAAGCACCATTTCTACTGCTGATATGGGCAGCAGTTACTTCTGCCTTATGATGAATGTGAAGTTACCTGAAGACTCTTTATCCAGTTTTCCAGACAAATCCCACCCTACCTTTTCCATCAGAAAAACTATTCAGACAGAAAATGCCTAACTGCTTCTAATTATTAGTTGTTCAATACGTATGTCTGAAGGCTGTAATCCTGACCACTGTTAGGCATACTGCAAGAGGAGTTCTCCCTTCAGAATGGCAATGCCTATGATTGGTATACGACAGGACTAAAGCCAGTTTACAGGAACACAATTATAGGCACTGCCACTGAAGCATGTTTATGACTTCAGAGCCAGGCTGGTTAAACTCTCAGACTGAAATATATTTCCCAATGCTAGTGCGACAGAAATTAAGGTCCAGAGTGCCACCTTTATCAAGTTGTATAGCAGAAAAGACATCAAGCTTGAGGTTACAAAAACCAGTATAGATAAAGTAAAATAACTGTTTTCGACTTAATGGTTCGTGATTAGTGATGTTTCTGAGATGGCCAAGCAAACCTACACAGCATGTACAGGAATCTGGGCTGTACTTTCGGAAGAAAGCATCTGTATCTGAAGGGGGGCTATAGGGATGCTGGGGAGGGACTCTTCATTAGGGACTGTAGTGATAGGACAAGGGGTAACGGGTTAAGACTTAAACAGGGGAAGGTTAGATTGGATACAAGAAAGAAGTTCTTTACTATAAGGGTGCTGAGGCACTGGAATGGGTTGCCCAGGGAGGTTGTGAATGCTCCATCCCTGGCAGTGTTCAAGGCCAGGTTGGACGAGGCCTTGGGTGAGATGGTTTAGTGTGAGGTGTCCCTGCCCATGGCAGGGGGGTTGGAACTGGATGATCTTAAGGTCCTTTCCAACCCTAACTATTCTATGGTTCTATAAAAGCATGCAAATCTGAAGGATAGAGCTGCTGACAGGATCCTTAAATTTGCAAAATTTTTCTAAAAGCAATTTATTCCATCTTTTCCAGTGACATTAGATCTTACATGGATATGCCACAGCAGTCTGGGACTCACCTCCAGCAACAGACAAGGATGAGCTATTAAATCCTACATGTCTTGTGCCTGACCATGTTAGGAATGGCGTGTTATGTATTTGCTGTTATTGCTATTATGCATTTGGTAAGATGGCTTTCTCTCATCCCACTGTCTAAAACCAAAATGAACATGCTAATCCTCTCAATACTGCGTATTTTATATTCAGAAGTAGAAGTGAGATGTCAGTCATGGTAAATTGAATAAGCAGCTGAAGACAAGGCAACCATTAGCTTTCAGCAGATTATGTTTAAAAAACCCAGTGTTTTCAGGTAAAACGTATTTTGACTAAACAACTGTTTCTAAATGTACATTCCTGCTTCTATGACTGAAGACCTCGTTTTTATCTCTCAGTATTTCAGCTACATTTTTGAGAGGCAATTAAGTAATGGAAACCAGTCGCTTCAGGCCAGTAAATGAAGTAGAGCACATTTGCTTCAGGTTTGGCTAGGAAGAAGGGTATACTTCTGTACTTAAGGGCATTTCCATTTCTTTCAAGTACTGGGGGCAAACTGGCAGATATTATAGCATACATCTGTATCACACCTATGCTTTGTTTTCTGCATTTAAACTTCTATACTTGGTCTTGACTGCCAAAACCACCTGAAGCCACATCTACCACTGCGAGTTGTTTTTTCTTACTTTGTGGAAAGTAGGAGCTGGTGGACACACTTATTCACTAATAAAAGTGATTAGGTTAAAATGTTCTTTATGCCAAGTTCTTGAGTCTGGAAATTTTCCCATTCCTATCCATTAGTTTGCCTTATTTCAAGACACCTTCGAATAAACAATTGGTCACCCACATTTCTTTTGTATGTTATTAACAAACTGCTAGCAACTAAAAGCTTTTAACCCTGGTCAAAATTTCTGCATGGACAAAGAAGACCTGTTTGGGAAACCAAAATGTACAGTAACCTTAAGGACAGGGTAGCCGAAGGAAGGCAATTTTTGTTCACTTTCTATCCCCAAAGAGCAGGTTCTCTGTGTTCAGAGTTCTTTGTGAATATGAACCATACAGTGACTAGTTCGGGTTGGAAAGGACCTTAAGATCATCCAGTTCCAACCCCCCTGCCATAGGCAGGGTCACCTCTCACTAAACCATCTCACCCAAGGCTCTGTCCAACCTGGCCTTGAACACTACCAGGGATGGAGCATTCACCACTTCTTTGGGCAGTCTGTTCCAGTGCCTCACCACCCTTGCATTAAAGAACTTCTTCCTTATATCTAACCTGAACTTCCTCTAAGTTTAAACCTATTCCTCCTTGTCCTATCACTGTTGGACCTCCTAAAAAGAAATGCACCTTCTGGCATTTTGGCAATCTCTACCATACTCCTAGGTATGAAACTATCCTTAGGCTGTTATTAATTTGCCTGCATAAGACAATGGGCCTGAAATTGCCATTATTCATTAGCTAAGCTGAAAATTCATTAAACACTTGAAAGAGATAAATGAGGTGCAAGTTCGGTATTTGCCATGTAGAATTTCACATCTTCAGTCACACTACTTAATTATGAACCGTTCATTCAAAGATAATGGGCGACAGATGATGTATAGACTGAAAGACCTCACTAGCTGAACAGTCATGGCCTGGTCCTCCTGTCCCCCTTCCCTGTGTTGCTTGACCTTGGATAGGTGAGTGCTCTGGATCCTAAGCCTTATATTATTTGCATCAGTAACAGTGCAGGCATAACAGAGTTACCAAAACACTTCAATTTATAGCAAAAGCCAGGGCTGTAGTGACTTTTATTCTGAACGGATATAAAGTAAAAATAAAGGGATCTGCTCCCTCCACCTGTCCCCTTGATGGTTCCAGAGATATTGCCACTCTGCAGGCAGCAATGCTCAAGCCACTGGGGCATCAGCTCCTGAAGTGCTGCTGTTTTCAGCCCTACCTCTCTAACCGATGGTGTTGCTGCCAGGGCAGGGGTTTTGGATCTGCTTGAGAATTAGCTACAATGGTCATGCCTGCACGGCAAGTTAAATCAAAATGGGAGTTAGTTCAGGAGTCAATTCTCAGAAAGACAACAGGCATCCCTGGAGTGTGGACGACAGAGTCCACTAACAAGGTGGAGGGTAAAATGAAGTGTGTCTTACCTCTACTGTCAGCTGGTGAGGTAACTCCACAACCTTTATGAACTGTTTTATGCTTGTCAGAGCCCTATAATTAGAATAACTACTACCTTAAATCTATTGCCACAATGACAGGCTTGTGTGGCTGGCTTTGTAACCAAAACATCAGACAAAGCCAGGGGATGCAATTTGACAGTTCTGTTGTACTTAGACATGACTAATTCCTTTAAAGAAGCTGTTCTGAAAGCCAGAGCCTCAATCTGCAAAGCCGTAGCTTCAAGCTAATGTCACTAATTCAGATAATTAGTCTTGCTGAATTAAATGGGAAGAATTGTGCATGCATGAGTAGCAGTGGAAGATGAGGTGCTTATTTCATGTTATCAAAATACATGCCACTCATGACAACGAACAAATAGCTGTCACAAGGATTTGACTGTGAAACTCCTTCCTCTGCATTTATTAATAACCAGGGAAAATATTTACTAGGTGAATTTGCTTCCCTTCATTATCTTCACATACTATTTCAGCTCTTTAACACAAGTAACTTTGGACCGAGGTCCCCCGTCCAGGCCAAACAGTGATTCTGTGACCCTTCTTTACTGCCTTTTTCCACACATCTTCGTGTTGCCACCTACGTGTTTTATGTCCTTGCTTTTTCTACGCAGCACGGATACACATGCAGTGCCTTATTGATGGAAAATCCAAAGAACAGGGCTGAGGGTGGGAAAACAGACCTCGGGACACAGGATCTTTGCTTCTAGCACAACGGAGAGCAGTTCTGCTATGTAGTTTCTGATACTATGACTGGTTTTGAGGGGAAAAAAACCCAAAACAAATTGAACCCTAAATGACACAAACAAACTCCCTGAGGCCATAGCCAGCAGCAGTCCTGGGGGAAAGGGGATACAGGCAGAAAGGAAAAGCTTAAGTCAGGTTTGTCTGCACATAGACATTAACAGGACAGATGTAGCACGACACCTGCCAGGCATTCCTGAGTTTCCAACTCTTCTCTGAGTGCTGTGAGAAGGATGTCAACAGAATGATGGAAATAAAGATGCCCAGTTATCTCCTGATTACTACGTCCAGCAGAAGCACTTCCCCAAGCAAGGCCCTGACAGGGTCTTCCTCCCATGGGGGCTCTCCAGTGCTGAGTCAATCACGCTGCAGCCCCTTCCTCAGACACAGAACTTGCCTATTCCCTCACCTTCTTGGCTCCCTAATTCTGCAGAGCTTAGAGGAACCAAATTACCTTCATGATCTCTGCTACTTTGTCAAGCTGAACTGAAAACAACCCGCAGGTTAAAAATTACTGCAGCTAGACATAGGGGATAAACACATGCCTACCCATGTAGACATTACGACAATAAGATCCTTGCTTCGTTAGAGAACCAGGTGAAAGATTCAAGTGTAGTCTGATGCGAGAGGAGAAGTAAAACACCCCATCTCTCAAATAATAATTAAAGAAAAAGATTAATACTTCATTGGCTTTCTTTGAATGAGAAAACAAGTCATTCCAAACAGAGCAAATAGGGGAAGCTGTAGTACCCAAATAGCCTATATATAACCCACATTACAAGCACTGAATGCTTTATAGGTACTAAGATGCCCTGTTATCTATAAGCTCAGCAGAACAGGTGAGTATATAGAGGTAATGAGAAAGAACCATTTCTTTTGTGAGCTGAAATGGTTTCTACGACTTGTAGTGACATTTGCTTTTCAATGACAGATCTACACGCTACTTCATTACTGTGGTAATTCATAGGGTTGAACCTGGTGATTTTAATGCACATTATGCAACACTATTTTAATGCATACACTTCTTGAGCTTGCATCACACTTGTTATGCACTTGATCTTCTGTTGTCTTAATGTAAACCAAAGGAGCCAAGACAAGATATTCACCTAGTCTATAGCTGCTGCTGTAACCTTCCATGCCAGCAAAAGTGAGCTGTGTTCAAAGCAATTTTATGTTGGCTGATTAAATATACAAACCACCCACCAGAGGCAGATGCATGGCCATAACCACTTCATGTAAAGTGGAAAATGAATTATTAGTGTTTCGCATCGTCCATAGGAGACAGTGAGATCAGAAGTTAGAATGTAAAGGTAGAAAATTATCCAAAATTGAAAAGTTTACCCAGGAAAAGAAATAAGCATTCATTGTATGTGACTGTGTCTGTTCCCTTTGAGCCTGGACCGAAGTCACATCCTACCCCAGCACCAGGCAGGCTCAGTGCTGTGTCTGGCTGTTTTAGAGATTAAAAGGATATTCACTGAACCACGTAATGTGAATTTAACTATCACCTCCCTAGGGGAGCAAGCTTTCCCTATGCCAGTATCAGTCCATGCAGGGGTAGGGGAGGAAGAAGCAGCAGGCTGGTGCACTTCAGCCTTCCAGGATCAACCCGTGAAAGCTTCTTTCTCTACAAGGTGTTACAAGATAGTCAGCTTGAAGAGACACTTCTTATTCAGCTACTTACTCCCGGTCATACAATCAGTGCTAAGGTGATTTCATGCCAGTCACCTGCCTCCCTGGCAGGACTGAATAGGCAACTGATATCCTGTCTGAATAATTCAGCTCTGTCCTGGCTGTGATTGAAAGCTGCTGCACAGCAGGAAGCTAGCTCAGGAAAGGCTTAAAAACATCCTCACAATTGCTGTCAATATTATTACCATAAATGCAAGGCCTGATTGTGCAAGGTGCCATGAGAAAGCAGTTAAGTCTGGCAGCTTCAAAATGCAGCTAGAACTGCCTACGGAGGAGAAAACAACCATAGGAAGAAAGTGGCTAAAAAAAAAAGACAATCATGGATGTTCAGCACTGCAAAATAACTGATTAGATAATTATTTAGAAGAATGAGTTACAAAGAATCTTGTCTGCAATTCCAGACATGCTTTGGGTGAACACTGCACAGGGAACTATAAAGTGCTGCTTCGTCTCGGTGTCTGTACGCAAGTATTTATGGTGTTACTGTTGCTGTGGAATTCAGGCAGGAGGCTCAGTGCCGAGAGATCTCCCACAAGCTTGCTGGCAGAGTGGGACCTATACCCCCCCCACGTTACACCATGGGCAGGATGCAGTCTGATTTCTGCTACAGCACCTAAGAAGACAGCTACCATTACCTTATACCAAAGCTGCATGTATTGACCTTTCCCTCTATCTCTATTTCGAAATGCTTACAGAAATAAAGAGTCAATTTATAAGCATCTACCACAGTCTGTTTGCGGACAAAAAGACCAACATGCTTCTACTCATACATCGTCTGGGATGCTTTAGGTAAGCGTACAAACAATTCAACCAGGGTCACTATGTAGAGTATAGAAATGCTTATAAGAAAATAATCTTCTTTTTTGATACTCAGGGTTACACAGCTCCCTACTCCTTTCTTATCCTCTCCCCCAGGCTAAGGCTTATTTTCATTTCCCCCATAACTGCCAAAGGATTAGATCTAGCCAAAGCACATCCCCAGGTACTGTTTATAGCAACCACAGATTACTATGTGCCTCACTAAAATGTGCAGGCTGCCTTGATCCATCAGGTCAGCCGTGTCAGAACCGGCATTCACAGCAGCAACTGCAAAATAAGGAACTCACAAAAAGATCTCTTTCCTTGAAAAAACCCTGTCATTCAGACATGCAGGTCTGAAACCAGGAGTAGAAGGCGAGGGGTTTTCAGAGAGCTGCTTGTCTGACAGCTCCCTCTTTCCCCACTGTAAAAGCTTCAAAGCTATGTT